TTTTTTACTTTTTTAAACTGTTGGCAACCTAGCAGATTATTTGCGTGTTCTAAAAATCGGTGTTGGCTCTGCTGTGCGATTCCATGGTGTCACACATAACATTTTGGAAAACCAATACGGTGGCAAAGCAGTTAATGTCTGTTACAGGGTAATATCCCAAGCCCTCCAGCCCTATTCCTCAAACTAATTAATCGTATTTTAACTACAGTTTTCTAATTTCATTTTTAATTTTTCATCTTGGGCCAAAGAATATATATTGAATGTTTAATAAAGATTTGATTGCAGTACAGCTTAGTACAAAAGGAAGAAGATGAGCACTAACCAAACATCTATAATTGCACTTGCAGGGCTGTTTTCGGAGCGCATTTCACTGTCTAGAACGGAGACTCACCACTCAGCTTGTACAATCAGGACCAGTTTTGCATTGGGCAGAATCTTTTCCTTCACCTTGGCAGTGGTAAAACCATTCCCTGAACTTTCACACCTTTGAGGTGTACGCTGGCTCATATTTCTTAGTGAAGCTGTCAAAGTTAAGCCTATTTATACCAGGCAGTCATCTCCTCCAGTAAATTAAATGCCCTTCTGGCTGACAGTAGCAAAGAGCAGCTATAACCTCCGTACTGCCTTGAGAAATTAGCTAGTGCGTCTTAGTTATAGTTGTACTTCGACATCTCAGTGAGCCTGGGATTATACAGGGGAAGGCTGCAAGTAGTACACACTTAAGAGCCAGTTTCTTCCAAGCGAACACAAAACACTTCTGCAAAATTCTGGAATTGGGGAATTATGCTGTTTTCTTTCAGAAAACCCTTAGGTGTCCATCTAGGTTACAGATCAGCCGAGTGGGATAACCACACCAGTTCCTGGCAGATCAGCGCCTTCCCGGAAGGCTGTGTTCAGAAAACCAGGGTAGTAGGTGACTTTGTATTACTGCAGAACACGGGAACTCTCTCAGCAGATCACACTAGCAACTCCAAGTTAAATCTTTAATAATAGCCCACATCACACACAGCAGAAGGTGCGAGGACCATAAAGAAAACCTGGGAACAGCTCATCTACAAATGAAGTTACAGTCCCCCCCCCGCCGCCCCGAAGTTGGCTCCTACTGGGAGCCCTGATGGTTTGTGCTGTCATCCTATATAGGCGTTTGGGTGTCATACCCGTTATATTGGTACAGATGAGATGCTTAAACAGCCCCAGAAATCACTAGGCTTTACTTAAAAAGTTTAGTTTAACTTACTTGTCCAACGTAGAATTTTCATGTTTGTGGGTACTACCAGTTCTGCCAAGATTTAAAGGACATTTACTTTTTGATTCCTTGTAAAACAATTCTTACTGCAGTGGAGACATTATTGAGACTGATATATTTCTACTTACATATTTCTGACACATTTTTTTGGGGGGTGAGGGTGAAGTTCCATGTAAACCAGACTATGAAGTCATGGGCCAAATGCTTACTTCTCAGTCATTTAAAATTGAGATGAATACCAGATTTTCAACCCACACCTCTAATTAGAACAAAAGCTACGCTCAACAGATTTGCCCTTATTGCCATCAAGAACAAAGTAATCATTCAACACCTCTTGTGTTGTACATTTAATTGTCTTCAAAAGGATGCATTACAATTGGGGAGGATGACACATTAATGTATTAGTAAACTACGCAGGGAGTTGTGCAAAATTAATTTCTGTCCTACAGCAAGAATGAACAAGATTATCTTATCGCACAAGAGATTCCAGACACTTTATCTTCTCCTCAGCACAGAGTCTCCATTAAGATTAATCAGTCACAAATGCACATTCCAAAGGAGGACACAAATTATATGACATCTTCTTATCGAGTTAATGAATGACTCGCCTCCCTCCCATCCCTTCCTCCTGTACAAGAAGACAGCCCGAGGCAAATGCTCCATAAACCTAGACGTGACGAATGCAGCACTCAGGAGACAAGGTCAGTGACAAAGTCCCTCTCCGCTCCAAAAGGAGCCGTTTTCAGAAGTCCGTAAGCAGAGCTAACAGAGGGTTTGCAGGATGGAACGACGCTGCACAGGGCCTCTCCAACATACAGCACAGCTTTAAAAGAAGTTCCACGTATAGGACAAGTAAGCAATAAATTTAAAAGAGAGCAAGTGTTGCTGAGGGAAGGTGTTCCCACTGATGCTGGTTTTTGTTACCAGAAAACTACATACATTTCTTTACAGCCCTAAGCCCTGAATTTTGGAACCATGCTGCTCCAAAGGTTTTGTCACTAGGTATTAAAAATGTCCTTTTTTTTTTTCTCTCTCCTTTTCCCAGCTCCCTTTTCCAAAGAGCAGCTTAGTGACAGCAAATTCAAGCCTGGGGCCAAATGGAAAGAATCAGATTTACTCTTCTCCCCTAAAAACCTGATTTTTTTAAGTGTAGCTCAAGCCTGTCCTGGGCTTCCACCCAGTGCTAAGACACTAAAGATGTGCTGGGTGTTTTCAGAGTGCAGAGGACAGAGCCTGGAATGATAATGCTGGAGACTTACTGTCCATAATCAGTCACAGAACAGGCTAATTAATCTCCATATAGCTGCTCTGACCACAGGACTCACATCCAATTTGGTGAAGCTGATTGCAGCTACGCCACAGTAATGCAGTGGTCATGATCCAGGCGGTACTGCACTGTCGTTTGGAGGTGCATATTTGGATGAGAAACAAAAATAACAGCTTTAGATGGTCTTGCTGTCTGGCTTTTGACTCACTACTGCTCCTCGAGCTCAGCTGAGGGCTGAGAGCTCTAGAGAAGAGTAACCTGCTGGGGAAGCAAATTCCCCCAAATTTTTGAGTTTCCTGCTCTCTGACTGATACCAAATCCCAAGGCAAATGACTTGAGGAAACTGAACCTTTCAAAGTCCGTCTAGGATCTGTAGGTCATTGCAGCAGATGAATTTTAGACCAGTGCCAGAGGGAGAGTGGAACAGCGTTGATGAAACTCCAGACTTTAGCAGACACCGTGAGCAAACTTTTCTGCTAGAGCACTCAGTGCTCCTCAGCCCCGGCCTGGCATGACCTTATCTTTCCATTTCCCGGAGTTCACCAACCAAGCTCTGCCATAAACCAAAGACCATCTGGGAACACTAAAAGGCAGGATGTCTTTTATAAAGTGTCTCCATGTCCTAGCCAAAGGCCAAGTGGGTTAACAACATTTTTCCTTCCTCTTCTCAGAAATTCTGGTGGCTTTGACCCAGTCTCCTCTGCACACTGTACGTTTTTGTATTACGTTATTCTTCTTTCTCCTAATGCTTTTCCCTTCCATCCCTGAGATGCTATACTTTTGGGATGCCTAATTTGAGCTACCTGTCGAGTACACTGGATGAGTTGGAGGAACGCTGCTCTTTGTCAAGTGTGTCAGCTTTAATGGCTGGGGGCAGCAGGGAAGG